CTCATTTGGACATACTCTTTTTCAACGGGCTGAGAGGCTAGTTGGAATTCCTTGAGGTGAAGCTATTTATAGAAGTGGGTTTCATCAACGTTCCGGCATGATCTGGCTAGGATCCTGTCTCCAGAAGACTTTCAAAAACTCTTGAGCATGAGCGAGAGGAAATCACGTAAGATCTCTGACTTAATAACAAAACTGCATGACGGGTTATAAGACATCCTAAGTTAAAGCCAGTACGTCCAGTTGAAGTGGCTTCCGAGGTGACAACACCTACTGATCAGCACGTCGATCGGATTAAAGTATAGCATTTATCATCACTTCCTTTTTATCCCGAAACAACTGTGTTCCTGGAAAAAGGACTTCATTTTTCAATTAAAAATGACAGAAGCATTCTAGGAGACATCCTGATGGAGGCTATCAATACCTCCGACAAGTTCCCTGAGGAGATAAAACGGGAAATGGAGATGGGACTAATTCCAAAGATCTTGATACATCAGGAGCCAACACACAGGGACAGATTTGCCGTGATACGTAAAACCCTAGAAACGAATGAACAATTAGTCCTTCAGGTGGACAAAGGAGGAGCTAAAGTGATTAAGGACAAAAAACAATGTACCGAGAAGATGGAACATATTCTACGAGACAGGACCACATATCGTATACTAAACAAAGACCTAACTATGAAGATCAATGAAATCTTAAGTGACATGCTGAAAGATATGCATAGGAATGGGGACAAGAAAATCATTTATAAGAAGAGATGCTCGACCACCAACAGCATACGGATTAACAAAGATACACAAGGAAGGCGCTCCACTAAGACTAATAGTCAACAACAAGTATGGAGCAACGCACAACTTAGCAAAGTTTATATGTTTGAAACTCAAGAAATTAAATGAGAGGCTATCAAACACATGTGAAATTCAATGGAAACTTCAGCTGTACTCATATCATTGTGGGAAAATTCTTCTACCAGTCCTTCATCAACTTAAACGAAATTGGGTGAGTACATCTCATATTAGGGATTTACTGGTAGTCTCGAAACAATACTTAAATGCGAAAAATAAGGACAACCTATTTTCCATTCATTGGGAACATCTATGAACAAATATTTGGACTTCCCATAGGATTCCCGCTCTCATCACTTTTGGCGAACTTATAGATGAACAAAATAGAAGAAAGCTTCAAGATGGCACCGCTACAACCGGCAGTGCTCATGCGGTACCTGGATGATTACTTCACACTTTGGTCACATGGAAGAGAAAAAGTGGAAGAATTTCTGAAGTTTGTAAACCAGATTGATGAAAAAATGCAATTCACGATGGAAGTAGAGGAAGGTGAGCGGTTACCGTTTTTAGACGTTGAAGTGATTCGCTCTAATGGGACGCTCAAAAAGAAATTGTTCTGAAAGAAGTCATTTGCTGAGATAATACTCAATTTCCGGTACCATAACAATCACAAGCTAAAGATAGGAATAATGAGGAGCATGATCATCCAAAGCCTACGCTTAAAGGATGTAGAATTATGGGACGAGTGTGATGAGTACACACTAGCTTCGCCACAATAGGGCACACATTTTGACGAGTGGAATGTATTTTTCGTATTTGAGCAGAGTTTCGAGGCTACCAGTAAATCAGTAATATGATATGTATTCACCCAATTTCGTTTAGTAGAATTTTCCAACATTGATATGGGTAGAGCTGACGTTTCCATTGAATTTCACATAGCCTTGTTTACCCATAAGTGGAAAGTAAACAAGTGAGAAGCTGTGACAGGGCGGGAGTTGGATAAGAGGGTATAGAGTATATAGATAGGCCAAGACAGAAAGAGGAGTGATAGTGTAACTGTTTTCGGCAGAACATTTATCGAGGGATTGGCTTCACTTGTCTCTTTGACGAGTTCGTAGCTTGTTGCGGAGAATGGCTGGACTCATTGATGATGTCGACTACGATGCCGGGGAAACGTCTGAGAAAGTACCAAGTCCACTGTCTAATGCTGGGAATCATGACAATTACTATGGCAGACGACTTCGTTCCACTAAGTTGCCCTGACAACAAGACCAAGTTGCGACAACGAGGTCAACCCACTTCTATAAATCGAAAGCAGGCTCCGACCCTACCGGAGGCCACAGCATCTAATTTTTCATATCTTCGTTGATACTATTTATGTTGTATTCACTTTAGTTAAGAATATTTGTGTCACGTTTAGTGTCTTTTGCTCTGCACTGCAGCCTTCATGGCTTTAAATTTGTGCCTGCACATAACATTCGATAAAAATCGTCGGCTGTATTCTCGTGGAACTGGTCTACGAAGCTTTTCTTTGAGCGTTCTTGCAGCCCGTAATTATTACACAATTTGCCTTATTCCTACAACCTAGTCTTATTACCTAGGATTCCAGCTCGAAGAATCTAGACTGTTCTTACTCTGTATTCTTAGATATCTTCGTCCGTTATCAGATCATTGAGCACTTACATCTTCCAGATCTTTGCCAGCAGCTCTTAAAATTAGCCCAACGACGCAGCTTTTATTAAACTCTAGTTTATTTCAATTAGCTTTAATTCGTTTCTATTATTCTTAA